TTGGTGACCAGGTAGCCGGGCTCTGCGGATCGGGGCGCCAGCTCCACACCTGTGGAATCGTCAGTGGGGAGAGCGGGGTAAAGGATTTCCGGTGTGTTGTCATTCTGGTCCAGTACGAATAGGCTCAGCGACACATTGCTGCTGAGCGGCGGGTCGCCACTGTCACATGCTACCACTCTCAGTTGAAAGTCCCGGAACTGTTCATAGTCGAAGGATCTCAGGGCATATAAGACTCCAGTGTCTGAGTTGATGGAAACATACGAGGACAGAGGCACCCCCTGGATGGTGTCCTCCACCAAGGAGTAAGTGACCAGTGCATTCTCATTGCTGTCGGCATCATGGGCTGTTGCAGAAAAGAGGGAGGCACCTCGAGGATTGTTTTCTAGAATGAAGGTAGAGTAGGAGTCCTGGGGAAAAACAGGGGGGTTGTCGTTGATATCTGTCACTTGCAGTGAAATGTGAGTTTCAGTAGATAGAGCTGGAGTTCCCTGATCTGTTGCTGTTACTGTGATGTTGTACCTAGAGGTAAGTTCTCTGTCCAGTGTTCTTTCTGTCACTAAATGGTAAAAATTATCATCCAACTTTTCTAATTTAAAAGGTAGATTTCCAGGAATGGAACAGGTAGTATCACCGTTGTCTCCAGAGTCCTGGTCATGCACACTGATAAGAGCAATTATAGCTCCAGGAGGAAAGTTTTCTGGGACTGAAGTGGTGACAGACGTCATGGTCACCTCTGGGGCATTATCATTTATGTCCAGAACTTTTACCAGCACCTTAGCTCTGGCCATGAGGCCTGCCCCATCCTGAGCCTGAATTTCCATTGAATAAATTTTGTATTCTTCGAAATCCAGGGCTTCCTTATTTGATATTTCTCCTGTGTAAGAATCCAGCTGAAATATCTGGGCTATTTTGTGGTCTATATTGTGAAATGAGTATGCTACTTCCCCATTGACTCCTTCATCTGGGTCAGTAGCTTTTACTGTCAGCAGCCGAGTGCCCAGTGGCACATTCTCTGGGACACTCGTGTTGTACTGTGCTTGAGTAAATGCTGGAGGGTTGTCATTTGCATCTACCACCTGAACATGAATGCGGAGGGTTCCTGAAAGGACTGGGTTGCCCCCATCAGAGGCCGTGAGGAGGAGGTGGTGCACAGCTTCTTCTTCCCTATCCAGGGGACTCTGCAGCACCATCTCTGGGAGTTGGGATCCATCAGCTCCCTGTTGCACATCCAGGGAGAAATGAGGATTGGAGCTGAGCTGGTAGCTCTGCAGTGAATTCATACCCACATCAAGATCTTGCCCCAAAGGTAGAGGGATCCTGGTACCTGGAGTAGTTATTTCATTCATTTTAAATTCCACGTCCTCTAACTGAAACTGGGGAGTGTTGTCATTAATATCAATTATTTCCACTTCAACAGGGAAAAGCTTCATTTTATCCTCTACCAAGATGTTAAAACTCACCAGACACTGCACACTCTGTGCACAGAGCTCCTCCCGGTCTATCCTGCCCGCTGTGACCAAGCTGCCACTTCGAGGGTTCAGAGCAAAAAGCTGCATCCTACCTCTAGAGATGATGCGAACTCTGCGCTCTATGAGCTCCTGAGGTTGCAGCCCCAGGTCTTCAGCGATGTTGCCCACGAAGAAAGCTTTGTCTGTCTCTTCTGGCACCATGTATCGGATCTTCCCAGCCCAAGCTTCCCACGACAGCCCCAGAAAAAGGCATAGCAGGAACAGCTCGCTGCAGCTGGGCTGCTTCCCCTGAATCACCATTGCTCTCTCACTTCGTAGTTTACTCCCAGTCCGGTACCAAGAGTATTGTTTCTCTGTTCTTCTAAGCCTAAATTAACCAAATTTTCAGGAGATTTCAGAGCGGAAAGTGGTCCAGAAGTAGGGTCTGGGAAGCTTCAAGGAGACTGTTTTCAATCTGGCGGTGATGGAGGTTCTAAGAAGCTATTTTTTTTCTTTTTTCTTTGGGGGTGAGAGTGCGCACGCGCAGCCTGTATCTCCCAGACTGGTGAACAGCGGCGCCCAGAGTCCTCACCAGTTACTACACTCGTAGATAATACTGAAACTTACCTTTGTTAACCTCATCGATCTTTCCTTAAGTCTTGGTTTATTGTCAAGAAAGTAGCTATTGATTCTATAATATAATATAATATAATATAATATAATATAATATAATATAATATAAGCATGAAAATGAGAAACTATTGTGTTTATTTAATTAATCATATCTAACTGTTACTAAATTGCAATATACAGTAGAATCTCAGTATACCTAAGCTATCTGCTTTCCCTGTTTGCTATTCAGGCAATATTATCACAAGGGACAAAAATCATACCTCCACTTCCCTAGTATGTCTTGACACTTGACAGTTTCTCAGGCTACACAGAAGAGCAACTACCCTTTGGTGAATCAAATAAAAACTAGAGGATAAATAAACTTTTAAAATGTAAGCTAGACTTTTAAAAATTGGACCGTCCATTTTATTTCCATTGTGCTTTGAATATTTATCAGAGACCTCTGAATTTTGAAGGATGTGTTTTAACCATTTCTTATTTTTTCAAAACTCATTTCTGAAGTGTCTATGTATTATGTGGATTTTTTAAAGACCTTTAAGTCACTCAAAGGCAATAAATTTTGAATAGAATAACACTGGGCTCTTGGAATTTCACTGGAAAATGTCATATGAGTATCTAATTTAGACTTCAAATTTAAGAGACACAAGAGGTAGTGATATTATTCTTCAAAACTGAGAAGGAAATGGCCACATCTTTATTTTTAGACAGGCCCTGAAAATAATATGTGTTCTCCTAAAAGCATACTTAATATTTTCTCCAAGAGAAACTGGTTTTCTTAATAGCAAAAATTTTTAAACTAGATTGCCTTCCTTCTTTTACTCATTGCAAAATTAGTAAAAGTTTACTAAGTAAAACGCCTTGAGGCTTTGAGTGATTTATCTTTACCCAAAAGTTAGGGAAGAATGTTCTCTGCATTCCAGAGGTTAACATTTTAGGAACAAATTGGGCCAGATACTGGCAGTCAACCTATGGATATGACTGAGAAGAGTAGAGAAAATAAAGCAATGAAGGAAACAAAAGTCACAAGAATAGTTCTTGGAAAGAGAATATCCATTCCTGTATAACCAAATCTATGGTTTCTCAGCTTCTCCAAACAAGTATATGGAGTCCAAAGGCAGAAACTTAAGTATTCAGTGAACCTCTTTAAATATTACAAGGAGAGGACTTTTTACCAGAAAATATAAGTTTTTAGAATGTACACTAATAGGCACAAACTTTTCACCAATGGGACTGTCTGGACAAATGAAAGAAATTTAAAAACACACAGCAACTAGAAAGTGAATTTGTAGAGCTTCTCTTCCTCCAACAACAGCAAAAACCAAGTAGAGTTGATTTAGAACAGGGTATTTACAAAATAAAAGTGTTAGAACTCACAGGTAAATATTTGAATCCAATGTAATACTGAAGGTTGCAGTGCAGGCACCAAAGAGAACATCCAGTTAAAAGATGTTTCTTGAGTCAAAGAAATAGAATTAAAAATTTGCAAAATATCTGAAGCCACAAAAGGACTGCAGAAATAGGGCAAATCTCACTTGCTGAAGTAAAAGCAACTCCAAATCTAGGCTTGGACCAAAGACCAGACTGAAAGTAGGGCTGGAGGAGCCTCTCAGGACCAGAGTGATAGCCAGAGTCACTGTGAGGAGAAGAGCACGGATACAAAGGACAAGGCCACAACCAGGTAAAACTGTGGCTCTGTCTGCCTGCCAGCCAGCAGGTACCAGGCCACTGCTGGGTTCTGGCAGCAATTCCTCTAAACTGTAGGCAAAGACCAGCTGTAGGATGATGACTGTTGGTATTGTGTGCAGTGACCAGCAAGCCCTGTAGAGCAGCGTCTCTGCTGCTCACAGGACCACAGTGCTAATCTCACTCTTGTGCCTCCCCAGGTTGAAGAATCATATTAGCTGGTCTGAAGCATGTAATAGGATAGCCAGGCAAGGCTCTTCACTTGACGTCCACCTTGGTGACCAGGTAGCGAGTTGCACTGTGCATGGTTACACATCCAAGAGGGCATGATTTCTGGCTGCAGCTCCTGGCACAGTGCTGCCTGTGCATTTTCGTTGTGGTGGCCCACCATCACAAGGAGCCTGCAGTGAACATCATCGTGCTCTGCACTAGGACACATTGGATGACGATGCACATGGTACTCGGTTGCTGGTCAGGAATAGGCACATAGGGCCCCACATCTGGGTAAGAAGCACTAAAGTGTGCAATGGAGGCTTTGAGCAGGCATTCCCATTCTCTTGGGCCACATAAGAGGCCTGCTGGAGAACAAAAGCATTTTTGTTGATGGGGGTGATTTGCAGGGTGATGTTTGTGCTGGAGGAGAGAATGGCTTATCCTTGGTGGCTCGGGTGGTGACACTGTACTTCACGTACTGCTCCCAGTTTAGAATTCCTTCTGCCTGTATCTAGAAAGAATTACAAAGTAATTCTTATAGGTGAATTGCTTATTTATTACTTCCTACAATATCTTTTATCTCTGCACTGTTTTGGCTTGGGCAACCAGAGTTCTTGCCTTGCCTATACAGCCAGCTGAAAGTCATCTGCACAGCATTATAGTTCTCAACCTCCACTTCAATCAGGATTCTGAAATGGACCCTTAAACTGCCTCCAATCTTCTCTTCTACTAAATGTTGCAACTGTCATGTTCCAAAATCAAAGATGGCACTGTTATTACTGGATGACAGATATTTGCTATATGCCCTGGGAGACTGTGTAGTAAGTGTAGGGGAACTCTACCTTAAAGGTGTCACCTAGGTCAGTGGGGAACCACCTGACGAATGCAGACGATGTGGTAGAGGGCAGGTGAACTCTGCTGTACTCCTTGTGGCTCAGTATGGGAGGACTGGCATTAGCCTCCATCTCTTATATCTTGCCATAAGCTGCTTCTACTGCTCCCCACCATGAAGTGGTGGCAGCTCTGTTCCTTTGGTCCATTCCTGCCCTACTCATCTCTTTTATTTGTGGGAGATGGGTATTGAAATTAATGTGATAAATTCATAGAGAATTACTTGCAGGATGCAAACATACTGGGGTTTAAGAATGAATATGCTACTATTAAGATGTTTCCTACAATTTTCAAAACAAAATGTATTAAAAGCCACAAATTATTTATATCCAGGGCGAATATATTTTTATGAAAAGCATTTATAGGATTTCCAGAGGAGGGTTTCAGATTCAAGATCCCAAAGACTTCCTTTAGCATATCTGCTAGATCTAGCCTGTCATTCTCCAGTTCTTCCCTGCTGTCCTTGCTGGTGCTGGCAGTAAAAAGAAGCTTCCCAGCACTCACCCATAGTTCCAGTCACCAAGACGCATATCTTTGCCTAGATTCTCCACTTTTAAACCACTGGCTCTTCTTCTGGAATTTCACAGCGCACCTGATGTGTAGTTCACTAGACAGAACAAAGACGCCAGTAAGGGAAACCACTTCCTGCCCGCCAAGCATCTTCCCTGCGGGGGTCTTCTTATCTCTTCTTGATGCTCCTTCTCAGATCTTAATACACCTTGCCATGGTGGCTTCCAGATTACAAAGGTGCGCTGGAGAGAAAAGGCAGCACTTCACTCTGGTTCATTAAACATCCTGGCATTTCTGATCCAGATATTTGGAAAAGATGGTGGGAAAGAAGGCATTTGGAATCCACTCCAGATGCATTTCCCAAGTCGGCGGTGATCACTGAGTCAGAATGCCAATGGATTGCTTTGTTTCACTCTATCCACGGATTAGGAGACAGCGGCACCCAGAGGCCTGGTACTATATCTACCGCATGTAATTTCTCAGTCAGGTGACGGTATTTGCTTTATTACCAGGGCTTATCTTAGTATATGCGCTGCCGAAGCGAGCACCCAGGGCTTATTTTAGACAAAGGCTGTAAGTCGTTATTTATTTTTGACAAAATATTAAAAAATGGAATTTTCACAAAACTTAAACCAAGCACTTTTATTAAAATTCATCAACTTAAAATAATTCATATAGAATTTTCCCTCTTGGTATGAGGACGATACACTACTGAAGCTTCTTTTCCTTAAAAAAATTTTTGCTCAAGAAATTATCCATTGTAAAAAGAATTTTTCATTATGAAAAGATATTCTCACTCTAAATTCTATAATAAAAAATTTTTACTATACAAAAATAGAAAATACTGATAAAAATTTAAAATCACCAGTAATTATATAATTATTATATCGTATTTGATGACTACTCATACTTCGTTAGTACATAATGCTTTTTCTTTGTTTTGTGGTAATATACACATAATATAAAACTTAACATTTTAACCACTTTTCAAACAATTTTAAGTGCACAGTTCAGTGGTATTAAAATACATTCATAATGTTGTGCAACCATTACCACCATCCATCTCCAGAACACTTTTCATCTTGTAAAACTGAAACCCATACCCATTACCTAATAACTCTTCATTCTCCCTTCTCTCCAGCCCCTGGCAAACACCATATATTTTCTATGATTTGGGCTACTCTAAATACCTCATACAAGTGGGATCAAGCAGTATTTATTTTCTTATGACTGGCATATTTCCATAGCATAATAACCTTGAAGTTCATCTGTGATATAGCAACTGTCAAAATTTCCTCCCTTTTTAAGGCTGAACAATATTCCACTGTATGTACAGACCACATTTTGCTTATCCATTCATCTGATAGACACTTGCGTTACTTCCAAATTTC